GAATTGTGCTGCAAGGCAAAGTCCTTTAGGCAGCTGGACAAGGCTGCCCTATAAAATACTGCTCAACTAAACCAACAGTGCTAACAACGGTAATGAAGGGGCTGGAGAGATGGCTTCAGAGGTTAAGAAGTTCTCAATCATCTCTCCCTCATTTCAGGGCATCTGACACCTTCTTCTGCCCTCCTTGGGCACTGCACCCATGTGGTATACAGACATATATGCAGGCAAAACTCCAAAATGCATAACATAAAAAAAAAAGCAACTAACCCACATGTCTTTTGGTCCATGTTTTAAGCGAATCTGAGGAGTGAACTGTTTTGAAATTCATTGGCAAAAATGAGAGAAATGTCCTCAGGATTGTCAGCTTTCCCCTGGTTGGTGGGCCAGGGAGAGCTACAGGTGTCTCTGTTGGGGGTTTAAGATCACAAGCACGAGTGTCTCCGAAAAGCCAATGTGCAGTTGAGAGTGCAAGGCAGAGTGTACTCTCCGGTTTCTCTTTTTCTCGTCTCCCCCACCCCTCCGAAACATTTGGAAGCATTTATTCATAAAAGCTTAAAAACAAACACCTGTTAGAGTCCCAGGCCAGACTGCTCAGTTACGCCTAAATGCTGCCCTCTGTCTGTCCTCCTTGATTTCTACAGAGAGGCAGACAAGTCACCTAGGGCCTCCCAGTGTGTCTGAATTCCAGGCAAGTGACAGGGGCCACTTTCACTTCTCCAAGGAAGCTCTTAGACTGTAGGCCGCCAGACTCTAAGGCATCAGTCAAGGAGCTAAGATGCACTTCGGCCAGATGTGCATCCCTCCTCACCTCGCCCACTCGGCAGATGTGCAACCCTCCTCACCTCGCCCACATTCTCAGAGTCCCAGTTTTCTTGCTCTTTGCTCTCTCTTTGCCACCTGGGAATCAGGGACAGCCTGGCTGCAGGCTTGTGTTGTGAGTCTCCCTTTTTCTGAGACCTGCAAGAAGGGACTCCTACTCCGCCTCACGAGACTGAACTCCTTCAGAGCATCCAACACTTTACTGTCTGCTTGTGTGCGTATTCTCAGTAGTGATAATGTCTCAAAGAAACTTCCTACTTAAAAGGACAGTCCTCTTCGGTGCCTCCCTTGCTCCCAGGCCAGGGACTTTGCATTAATACTTTCCATTTTGCATATAATGTTTTGTTTTAAAAGGACCATGCAGTACAGCATTTCATGTTCTCGGTTTTCTTGAGACAGGGTCCCGCTATGCAGTCCAGGCTGACACTGAACCTGAGATTCTCTTGCTTTGGCCTGAGAACTGTGTTGTGGGATATTTGTACACTGTGTAAAGATACACTGCTGTGATTGGTGTAATTAAAAGCTGAATGGCCAATAGCTAGGAAGAGGTTAGCTGGACTTCCAGGGACAGAGAGGACTCTGGGAAGAAGGGAGGAGATGCCAGGAGACACTGAGAGGAAACAGGAGGTGCAAGATGGAAGAGAGGACCGACTTGATGTGCCATGCTTTGCTCAAGCCTATGGGAGGCCTGCCCCTTTCTGAATGGAGATGGGGGGGAGTAGAAGAGATGGGGGGGGAGTAGGAGAAGGGGACTTGGAGGAGAGGAGGACAGGGACGCTGTGGTTGGTATGTAAAATAAATGAAGAAAAATGTTATTTAAACTAAAAAGAAAGAAAAGAAAGAAAGATGGAAGAGAAGTAACACCACATGATAGAATGTAGATTAATATAAATGAATTGATTTAAGGTATAAGAGCTAGTTAGAAACAAGCCTAAGCTATAGGCCGAGAGTTCGTAATTAATAAGAGGTCTCTGTGTCATCATTTGTGAGGCGGCAGCCAAAAGAAAAATCTGCCTACAGTGCTGGTGTTAAGTAACTTCAGTTGATGACTGCTTGTCTGATACCTCTTTTTTTCACAAGTGATCTAAGTATAACAATGAAGTTGGGTAATTGTAAACGGAATGTTTATAAATGAACTTTTCATGTAAGTTGAAAAAAAATTGTTTTTTAGCCTCTTTAGCTTGGAACTCAGAGTGCTGGGGTTAAAGGAGTGTGCCAGCACACCAAACCTGTGTAAGTTGAAATTTAAAGTTATGTCAAATTACACAATACTGTGAGAAAGTCCGAGGGAGGCTGACTTCTTCTGTCCCCCAATTCCATTCTCATCTTCATCCCTTCTCTTTGTTTCCCTCTCTTGGGGATCGAACCCAATTCTAAAAGGTGAGACACTGAGCATTTGAGTAATTCCCAAGTTAAGTGAAAGTTCTGAAACCCCAATAGCTAAATGTAAATTCAGGTCCTCTGGGCTTGTTCAATGCTATACAAAGGACAATTCACCATACGCAATATGCACGACCACTTTAAACAATTCACTGTGATCATATATGTACCTATCGCCAACATTGATCTACGAGAAAACTTCAATGTTGACGACTTGTTTTCACAAGCTCTGTCTCATCACTTATACAGGGCATAAGAAAAATCAAAGTGATTTGGGGGGGAGGTTAGACAAACTGGAAGAATAGCATAAGACATGTTCTTTTAGTGAGAAGTAGACTAATTTTGTCTGCATTGGAAAGTTTAAAAGTTAGCTTATTTACAAGATATAAAGGTAAAGAGGGAAATATAAGCGAGGTAGAAAGGAACCAGGAAATAGAAAAGACAGTCCTGAAGAAGACGATAATTATGAGGGTATATTTCAGGTAAGAAAGGTTAAACAGAACAATGGGACATTTTTGTATGTGAGAATCTGTGTGGTAGAATGATTTATCTGTTAGTTAGTTAGTTTGTTTGTTTATAGCTGGATTGGCCCAGGATGGGAAGAAAGAAATAGAGTAAAACTAAAGATGAAGCAGATGCAAAGGGGCTGAGCAGGTGGCAGGTCTGTGAAGAACGAATGTTATTAAAACAACCTGTGCCGGACACATGCGGGCACTGTCAACACTGATCTCTAGTTACCAATCATTTGTTCACAGGACCAGATCACATCAAACCCCAGCCCTTCTGGGGCAGTGTTCCATCAAGGGGGAGAAGGTGACAGCTGTGCAAATAGCATCCACCCTGTCAAGTACTAATGACCACAGATAAGAAGACAAGCAGTAATTGGGGAGGGGTTTGCACCCATGTGTTCTTGATAAGACTTATCTATCACAAAAGACTCTGCCAGCATTACGACCTTGGGCAATGGTCACCACAACCTCACACCAAAAATAACTTCTGCAAGGATGTCTGTTTAACCTTAGATTGTTGACCCCCCCCTCCCCAGTTATAACTCTTTAAGCCAAGTATTAGTTTCAAAACCTTGTATGTAATCCTGAGGCTGCTTCTGATAATCTTTTTGGCTGTGCAATGTAGTACGGCACACACATTCTCATTCCAATGGTCTGTAAGCCTCTTGCCCCTCTTCTCAGGGTTAGTGCTCTTTCCCCTAACTCAGAGCCTCTTTGCACATCTTAAGCAAAGGTCCTGCCACTGAGCTACATTCTCAGTCCAGAGGGAATCTCCAGGATTTGTTATTTAGATGGACATACCTCTAACAGTTTGCCTCCCAGAACTGACTTTTATCCATCAGTGATACACACAGACACAAATTTTGGGGTTTTTATGGAGGTAATTCCACGGACAAGAGTTCAGTAGGTATTTGAACTGCAGGAACTCCCCACCCGTTCATAAAAATAGATCAAGCCTTTTGATAACAACTTTGTTTGGTAGAATATATCTTCTTTGTGGTTTTATTTGTATCTCTGTGAGTGTGCGTGCACGTGTGTGTGTGTGTGCGTGCGTGCGTGCGTGCGTGTGTGTGTGTGTGTGTGTGTGTGTGTGATGTGCATGTATGTGTGTGAGTGGGTGTGGGTACCTGTGCGCCGCAGAGTACAGGTGGAGGTCAGAAGACAATCTCAGCTGCCTGTCTCTGCCTTCTGAGTAGTTCACTGCTGTGTATACCAGTCTAGCTGGCCCCTGTCTCCTATCTCTTCTGTCCATCTCCCCACAGGGGCACTGGTATTGCAGTAGCTTGTGTGGGATGCACAGCTACCCACAGAGTCATCTCCTCAGCTTCTGGGATACTCTATCAACAGTTCGAGGCACACAGAATTCAGTCTTTGTTATATGTTGATTGTGCCCCCATATAAAACGCCGGCACTAAAGGTGACTAGAAGCACACTATGTCCAAGATGGTGAGAGGGGCTGCTATAGAAACCAACTCCTGCACCATGCTGGATACCAGGGACTTGCGGTAGTGAGGAAGCCATTCTACCTCCTTTCTGGAATAGAGGAAAGAACAGGCTACCAACACAACACTGAATTCTCAGCCTCTCCAGGAAATGGGTACTTCAGGGTGAGTCCCCAAAAATCAGAGGACCAGAGACGTGCAAACATCACAGAACTCAACTCCTGTAGATACAGAGGCATTCTCTTTATTGTGCAGTTTTCAGACTCTAGATGAAAACATTTAAATGTTGACTTACAAATGCTGAGTCAGTTAGGGGCGAGCATTAAGAAACAGTTCAGTCCAATTTATTGGAAAATCTTACAACTTGAGGCAGTCACTGGAACACTGTTCATAAAACTTCTCCCGGGAAAGATTCATAAGCCAACCGAGTTTGTGCCTGGAAAGCCAGTCCCTTTCAAAAAAAGAAGGCAACAACACATCTCTGCAATTGCCAAAGTCCGCATTCGGGTCCGGAGTGGTTTCAAGAGACTACTAAGCTGTTCGCAAGCTGGAGCTGGGTCACCCGGCTATGAGAGAGGCTGTACCAGGGATAAAGATTCCCCAAGGGGAAACAGAGAAACACAGTAACACCACCCTGCTAGGGTGACATCGCTGATAGTCCGCAGACAGCCAGCGAAGAAATCGCTAACCCACTAACCCAGACCAGGCTCGCTCTTCCACCACTTCATGCGGTCCTTTCCATCTCCCCTTCGAGACAATCCTATGTATTTCGGAATGAAATCTCTGAGCCTCAGGTTCTCGGGAGACACCTCGCGTGGGGAGGAGCGAGCTCAGGAGGGAAGACCATTACCTTTGCACGTAGTGGATCAGAAACATGGCCAGCAGGACCCGGTTGGGGAGGATGCCCAGGCGCGCGGCTGCAGGGCGGGCGCACTCATAGAGCGGCCAAGCCATCGAGGGCAGCTCCTGCAGGAACCAGGCGGGTCGCGCCGGCACTTGGAGGCCGGGAAACTGCGACGAGTAGCGGCCGTAGGCAGAGCCCACCGAACTGAGAGCCACGAAGGTCACCAAGGCCATGAAACCCTCTAGGTAAGCGAGAGCGTCCAGCAGGCGCAGCTCGTCCCAGCCCATCGTTGAGGTCGAGCGGCGTGCTCCATGCCCGGGTGTCCAAGTGAGGCCACATATAAGCCCGGGAGGAGGGCGCAGAGCCGCCCACACGAGCCAGCGCCCCAGCAGTGCGTACCTGCCCAGGGGAGGGGCGAGCCACCTGTGCGGGCTGGGACTGGACCACAAGCTAGCACCATCAGACCATACCCTCCCGCACTGGTTCCGAGGGAGAGCCGGATTGCGCAGAGCCCCGCCTGCACAGAAGGCCCCGCCCCTTCCCGCCCGCGATCGGGCTGCTCATTGGCCTAGAGCTGCTTTGGCCCTCGGCCCCGCGGGGAAGAGCAGGAGCCGAGCACTCAGGGACCCGCCCCCTTCTCTCCTGCAGCCGGAGCTCCGCCCTCGGAGTCCAACAGAGCCCCGCCCACCCCAGCTATGGCTCCGCCCACCCAGCTATGGCCCCGCCCCGCCCTGCCACCGAGCCACGCCCCTCCACGGTATCGCCTCCTTGACAGCGGGCGGCGGCCGCGCGGCTCGCCCCTCTGCGCACGCGCCCTGCTCAGGTCGTTCGTGCAGGTGCCTGAGCCCCCGGTGGAAGGCGGGGATCGGGTGAGGCATGCTCAGCGGCGTTGGGGGGTTCCTGTGTGTGTGTGTGGGGGAAACACGTTCCCTGTCGGGCGACCACCCTTTCATCTCGTGCGTTTTCGGCAAGAGAGTGTCGCGTACTCCGAGGCATATTGCTTGGCTGCCCCGGCGAGGACCCGGCCGCGGGGTCCTCGGGGAGCAGCCGGAAGCACGGCGTGCGTGCTGGCTGTCGCGGGTCGCGGTGTGCGCTCCGCGTGTGCAGCTGC